ATATATATATATATATTGTATATTTAGTGAATATTGAAACGATAAATGTTAACAAATATTGCTTCCATTCTAACAAATATTTCACTACTCGTGAAATGTAATAATCGAACAATTTGCACTATATATTCCTTTACTTCTCTGAAAAATTCAAATCCACTCTTTCGTATCTACTTTACTCGCGAAATAATAACTCGAAACAAACAACATCGAAGATAGACCATACATAATCTTCGATCATAATTTTGTCCGAGTGCTATTCAGGACGAAGCAATGAAGAAAGAAAGAAAGAAAGAAAGAAAGAAAGAAGGAAAAAAACAAATCCATCAATCCCGATATATTCATCCCCATATAAAACCACTTCTATGAATCAGGCATCGCGCCGCAAGCTCGTCAACAACCGTGCATAATAAACCCCCCGAAGCGGCACGCGCGATCGACCATCATCGTTGCGGTGGCGGAGGTTGGAATTTCGTCGGGTGATTCATCGGTCATTCCCTATTGATCAGGTTGGAAAGGCAGGGATGTGTCGCGAATCAAGCCTGGCGCACAGACAGTGTGGCCACCACCAGTGGATGGGATAGTAGAACCCTCCCCTCCGTATTGGGCCGTAGTTTATTAGCGACACACATGGTTATTGGGTATCCGTGGATTGAAAAGAAAAGATGCGCAGGTACGGAGGGAAAACCCATAGTGTGTGTTACGTTGCGCAGTCGTCGACGGCCGTTATTGATTGCACGAGCGAGAAAGATAGAAGAGAAGCGGTAAACTACCCTCGTCATGGGAGACGGAGAGGGTGAATCGAAATATACCCACTTTCTTAATGCACTCCCCCTCCCTCTCTCTCTCTTTCTCTCTCTCTCTCTCTCTCTCTCTATACTCTTTTTTCTCATTCGTTCTTTCTCTTCGCTCTTTTCAAATTGTTGTTCAACAACTCGATTCGAGCAAATGAAGCACGATGCTCTGAGACTTCTCGTGAAATTAATTTACCGATTAATATCTCTCTCTGGAATACTCTTTTTGATCCTAGATAGAGAGAGGAACAGATAAATAAATAAATAAATGTAAAAATTATAAAGAGATTTTAGAGGAATAAATAGAAGAGGAAATAAATAGAAATTGCATTAAAGAATAAGAAGATCATCAAATCAAATGCAAAATTTAAACAAGGATTGTTGAAAAAAAAAATTGTTAAACATTTAATCTAAAATGAAATTTTATCCTGATTGATCTGAAAATTAAATCCAGAAAGATTTCCCTTGCCAGACAGGAATCCCCCTATTCCCCCACCCGATATCGAGCAAATACAGGAACAAACGTTGAATAAATTTTAATACTCCGATATTTCTTTCTTTTCTTCTTTCTTTTTTCATTTATTCGACGTTTCTGTTCGAGGTCCTCTTAAACGGTTTGCGAACACGTCACACAGAGGCGTTTTTCGAAACGTCGAGCCTCCTTTGTGGATCGGTTAAAAGCATTTACATACATCGATGATTAACGGAACAATAGGGAGGGAGAACCGTTGAAACGATTCAATGGCGTTATGCGACTCGATGGATTCCAGAAAAGTATACTCGAGGCGGGAAAAGGCCCGATTAAAAGCGAATGCGACAAAGAATGCATTTTCGCGGTAACGCCGACGTTATTTACCTAAACGGATATGTCGAGCCGTGTAATATTCTCTCCCTGCTTTTCCATCTCGATCGAATTACAATAACATGTTTTCCTTTGCCTCGAGAGTCGACGATCGATGCGGAAATTCGACTCTCGAGGCCGTTAAAATCGTGTTTGCTGTTACGAGGATGAATCGATAATTACGCACAATTTATCAATATTATAGAGATACGGTTGCATTTATCGTTGATTTTACTGTAAAATGAAATGATCTATGAGTTTGGATAAATTGGATTCTACAGACGATAGTTTAAAAAATCTAGTTCTAATTTTAGTAAGGAATGTAAAAAGGAATTTTTGGAAATTTAAAGATTTAATAATATAGGTTATTCTTTATTGTATGGAAGAGACAGTTAAAATCGTGTTTGCTGTTACGAGGATGAATCGATAATTACGCACAATTTATCAATATTATAGAGATACGGCTGAATTTATCGTTGATTTTACTGTAAAATGAAATGATCTATGAGTTTGGATAAATTGGATTCTACAGACGATAGTTTAAAAAATCTAGTTCTAATTTTAGTAAGGAATGTAAAAAGGAATTTTTGGAAATTTAAAGATTTAATAATATAGGTTACTCTTTATTGTATGGAAGAGATTAAATCGAAAAATTATGCTTTTGAGGATAAATGGACGTGTATATACAATAATTATTATAGATATTAATAATTTGATCAATTTTACTGAATAAATCTGAGTAATTATTGATTCGTCTAAATGTTCCGTGCTATTATATTTTAAAGCTTGCGAAAATTCAACTACGTTAAGTAAAAAGCTAAGTTTAATCGCAGTTTTCCTCGCGTTTGCTGCACTTTTTCTAACATGCAAATGTGAGGCATTAGTAGTTGCTGCAACGTGCAAAACGCAAGGTACTACATAATGAGGTATGCACACAGTGAAATATATTACCATTCGAGTTTCTAAGTTTCAGAGATAAAATCAATTGAGGAATTAAAAAATATCAAGTAAGATAGTAAGTATGAAAACGTTACGAAACGTTTAAAACCGGTTTGATTAATCAACGTAATTAAATTCAAGCCAATTGAATAAATAAAGATCCAACTCACTTTAATCAAACTCTTTAAATTAATTCAGATTATCTTTAATACATGACAATATTCTTTCAGGAATGAACGTGTAATTTATCTTAAAACTCGATAAAATTCCATTAAAATTAAGAAAACTTTAAACTATTATAACCTCGAAGATAGTTACTTCCGGTTGGAGGATGAAAGACTAGTAAAAGCATGGAACTTGCTCTTTAAAATGCTCTTTTTTGCGTACTGATACGAGTTCTGGTTCTCGAGATATCATCGGCAAAAAAAAAAAAAGGTAATTCATTCAAATCTGATTAAAATCTTATTAAAATTTGAATCGTTATATATTTCGAAGATAATTACCTTCCGGTCAACGAATGGACGATCGTTAGAAGTGCGAAATCACGCTCTTTAAACCGCTTTTTTGTTTATCTCGATACGACTTCCGGTTCCCGAGATATCGACGTGTAAAGAAAAAGAAAAGGTAATTTTTCGATCGTTTATCATCTTTTTATCCTTATCGTTCGTACCTTGTCTCACTGACCTATCCCAAATTCCAGGCAAAGAGAGTCACGATTCCTAGAAAAACATAACAATACGCATTTCCAAGAAAAAATATAGGTCAATGGATCCATTCATAATATTTGCACCGTCTTAGAAAGAAAAACTTTTAAATCTTTGTATCTCGGCAACCGATCGAGATATCGAGATAAAACAAAAGGTAAGTTCAATGGCATTGTTTCCTTTGAGTGATGACAAAATTTTTAAAGTTTCTTCTCACGTTTTTATTTTTTTTTTTATAGGAAAAAAATCAAAGTTTTATTCGCCACGTTGATCGAACGCAATGATTTGTCGACACGAAGCATTATGTAAACCATATACATGGACCATATATCTGGAGTTTTTTCTCATCTGTTGACGTCATTTATAATTGTAAAGCAGAATTCCACGTCGAATCAAGGATCTCTGACGGAAACATAAATGGAGAACTGGCGTAATTTCACGAGATCTAGAAACCCGTGTTTGGCCTATAACGTTGGAAAATGTTTTCACTGTGTGCATACCTGGTTCCAAGGTGGCGTTCCACGTATATTCAAGATTCGAGTCGATGAATGAATGTGAATGATGATATGAGAGAATGTACGTACGTTACGTACCTTTGAGGTGTTTCGGACAGCACACGAATTCGACGCCGGAGAACAAGGATATTCCGCAGGGCAACAGCATTGCAAAGCTCCTCAGATTCATATTCCTCTCTCTGCAGGTGTCTGCTGCGGTCGCGTTCCACCTGGAACAGTGAATTTCCGGATTGAATCTTTTTTTCTCTCTCTTTCTTTCTTTCTTTCTCTCTTATTTTTTTTTTTTTTTTTTCCTCCCTCTGTGTTGAACTTGTACAGGCCGTAGGGATTCGCATCAAAGAGAAACCGTAACGAGGAATCGTAACGGGGATTCAATCCTCTTAGACGGAAATTCATTTCTGGAGTGGTAGGGTAAACGATCGAAGGAGGTCGATCAACGAGTGTCTGCCTGGTCGAAGAGTATTTCGAGCTGTTTCATGAATTTATGATCTTCACAAGACTTTACATTCGATTAAGAATATGTCTTATTCAAGGGGGATAAATTATAGAATTGAAGACGAAACGCGATAAGATTTTTAAAAGCTATCGTTGTCTCCGAGGTATTACGTAAAAATTTCCAAAAATCCTTCAAAATTTTATACCTGACTTTTAACAACAAACCTATCACTTAAACACAAAAGAAACCATCTACGAGATATCAATGAATCAAGATCAACATCGATGGAGGATAAAATTACATCGTCTCAAACAAATTTGATAAAAAAGAAGAAAAAGAAAAATTCAAAAAAATCCAAGAAAATTCATTCGATCAGAGACTTTCCTGAGAGATAGTGCATCAACTCATCGAACCGGGAACCCCCGTGAACCAAGCTCGAACGACGCCGAGGATAGAGTTACGCCGTGGCGAACATGTAAATCGATACTCTCACGTCTTGCCTCGTCTTCTCAACCTTTCCGCTTACCTGTGAGATTCCCAGCATTTCGTCTGATTGTGAAGGTGGTCGAACAGGCAGCCTTCCGGAACGAGCAAAGCGTCGCTTTGGAACGGCCCCTCTGCAACAAACGAGAGAGAGAGGGAAAAAAAAACGTGTCGATACGTGAGAATAAAAGGTCGAGGGGAAAAAAAAAAAATCAAGTCCATGTGGACACGCCTATATTTATCGTGGAGGAGAGAGAGAGAGAGAGAGAGAGAGAGAGAGAGAGAGAGAGAGGCAGAAATCGCGTCGCACGTTATAGATCCATAGTTGTCTACTCAACCCCTTAACGCTTGGCACTCGACACAACCCGAAGGAATCAATACGGCAGAAACTGCAAATCAGAGTGACTCCGCTCTGGGATTGCTCTCTCGTGTATTATCATGTTTCTAAGATGGTATTTCCA